CTGATTTGGAGTGGGGAATGAAAGGGGAGCTGTCTTGAATTACGACCGACAAGCACTCGATTCCCCCCCCCCTTCCACCATTGTGTGAATAAATATTAAGATATTTTATTTCAGTATTGACGTCCCTTTGCTTACTAGATGTTGAAGGTTTGGTTACATAAAGATTAACTTTATTTCAACCTACTACTGTGTGGTTTCATTAGGATTTACCTAAGTTTAACCTACTACAGCGTGGATTAATCAGGATTAACTTAAGATTAGCCTGCTACATCGTCGTTTCATCGGGATTATCTTTAAGTTAAGCTATCGCTGTGTGGTAACATCAAAACCGAAATTGCTTTTTGGTGGCAATTGTTCTTGTATTTTGTAATTGTAATTGCAAGTAGTCACAAGATGGCACCCGTACAAACCCAATATTTGTCCAATATAATTTTAAATTGATTTGTTTGCATATTGAGCCGAGCCTTATAAATGATTCTAAGAATGTAGACAGGAAAAGATGGAGGGCCTGCGAGCCTACTTTAATACTGGTTAATACTTCCACGCGGCTACAACAGCGAGAGAGAGAGAGAGAGAGAGAGAGAGAGAGAGAGAGAAACAAACTGTGCAAAGTATCTAATACAGCTGTTTTTATGTTCTTGTGTTTTAGCTGACTAAACCTATGTTAAATGTATATTGTATGTGAAGTACATATGTTGACCATGACGATAAGTTGACCATGAGCAGTCCAGCAGAGGGTCATAAGGTCATAAGTACATATGTTGACCATGACGATAAGTTGACCATGAGCAGTCTAGCAGAGGGCCATAAGTACATATGTTGACCATGACGATAAGTTGACCATGATCAGTCCAGCAGAGGGTCATAAGTACATATGTTGACCATGACGATAAGTTGACCATGATCAGTCCAGCAGAGGGCCATAAGTACATATGTTGACCATGACGATAAGTTGACCATGATCAGTCCAGCAGAGGGCCATAAGTACATATGTTGACCATGACGATAAGTTGACCATGATCAGTCCAGCAGAGGGTCATAAGTACATATGTTGACCATGACGATAAGTTGACCATGATCAGTCCAGCAGAGGGTCATAAGTACATATGTTGACCATGACGATAAGTTGACCATGATCAGTCCAGCAGAGGGTCATAAGTACATATGTTGACCATGACAACAAGTTGACCATGAGCAGTCCAGCAGAGGGTCATAAGTACATGTGTTGACCATGACAATAAGTTGACCATGATCAGTCCAGCAGAGGGTCATAAGTACATATGTTGACCATGACAACAAGTTGACCATGATCAGTCCAGCAGAGGGTCATAGAAAACGAGTGTTTTTTTTAGCACGGCTGCAGTAAAAGTTAAATAGATTAACAGTTATATCATGTTGTGATATATTGTCTTTATTTTAATCAAAAAGGTGCCCCCTGGTGAACACACATATTGTTGTTAAATAAAACGGAGATGAACATTGATGTTTCGAGTAAAACCCACAAAAGAATCTGTCGAAATTAAAACCATTTTAGTGTTGCCTTGTGTAATATGTGTTTGTTTCTAGTAAGTTAGCGATTGAACCATCCCTATATTCTAACAAATAAATATGATAGTGACTTTAGTTACTCTCATCTAGTACGCGTCTTTACATTGTCTCAATTTGTTAGGAGGCTATGATGAAAAGAGAATGGCGTTTTGAAGTTCTTTGGCAGCACCACTGCCAGGCTAGTGAGGTACTAGTATTTCAAGCAACGATGGTTTTTTTTATGGAAACAATTTCCACGTCAAACTATGGGAACGCTAGTGTTTCCAATTCCATACATCATTTACCCAGACCTGCTGGCTGAAGCATTAATACATTTGCTTTATATATAAATATAATGCATGTAGTAGGACAGGTTATTGCACATACCCGCACGAAAACGCAGTAGATGCTCCAGCGCAGTAGACTACTGCAATCATACTGCAAATATGCCTCAAATCTGCTTCGCATTGGGAGCTAATTAGCATATTTGAAACATGCTTTTATCATGCTTCTAATCTACTGCATTAATGCTCCTCCTCTGTACAACCCTATGTAATTTTTGAAGTAGAATTGCAGTAGGGTATACTGCATTTCTACTGCAAATATGCTCCACACCACTACTGCGTTAATGCTTCTTTGCTACTTCGATACTACTGCATTTTCGTGCGGGTAAACATAGCACTTGTCTCAGCCTCACTTTGACCTTCTCACCTTGGCATGACCTTGGGATAACTTGGGATGGTCCAATCATTATTATTTGTTGCCAAATCCATTACATTGTGACAATTGTGACATTGAGCGGACACCGCATTCTTCAAACTTGAACCTCTCGAACAATTGGTAAACTGAAAGCCACGTTCATAGCAAAAATCAAGGAAATCTCGAACGAGGAATGAGTTCGAGATATTGACAATTTTTCATAACGTTTTTAAGTGTACCTCCAATGCAGCGTTGGGCCATTTGGTACATATTATTTAAAAAGAGCAGAACTTTTATGCAAAGCGACCAACCCACTGAAACTTCAGCAAATTTCTTCAAATTTATGGACCCTTAATTGTGTGATTTAATATTTTTTTATGAATTCGGTTTTTGGGTCAACCTGTATCTCAAAGACAATTTGTACCAGAACAACCTCATAAGATTGTTGAACTGTGGGGAGCAATCACAGTAAAATTTATAAAAAACCTCGAAGGAGGAATGTGTTTGAAAAATGTACAATTTTTTCGTGTCATATGCAAGTGTGAATCCGGGGGCATTTGGAGCATATTTAAAAAAAGAACATAACTTTTATGCAAAGCATAAAAATGGTCATACACACACATTGAAGTTTAAGTCCATCAAAGTTCTTAAAATTTGATGGACCTTTGTAGGATTTAATAATTTTTATATGTTCTGCCTTTTTGGGTCACCCTGTTTGTAAAATTGCCTTACCCTTATATCGATACGACGCACCCTGCTGACCAGAGGCAAACCACTAATGTCTGGGGAGGTTCAGGTCAGGTGAATGCAGTGCCCACTCAACGTCACACTTCCTACTGATTGGACATTCCAAGAATTACTCTCTAACCCAGGCTAGGGGGTCATCTTGTAATAACCAGTCGGTGGTTATACACTTGCTTTGATTTCTTTTTCACCAATAAGTCAACTGAGACAGGCAGGTATAGTTTTCTGCTACATGATTTATTCAATCGACTGAAGAATCAGGTCTCTTCTACCATCTCTCTCTGTGGTATCTATCACTCCCTTACTCTCTCAGTCTCTCTATTTTTATACATGAACTTAATTTACATTTTAGATTAATTTCTAGGACTGACATGCGACATGCCATGCCTCAAGACCTTAAAATTTAATTGTGGGTACAATTTGCATTAACGAATATGTAGATCACATATATGGAAATTAGCTCCCAATACTATTAATAGTTCACCGCATGCAAACTGTCATGCTTAGATCCATCTGGATATGTAAATAATATGTATTCAAATTAATGTTATCAGCACTAATTAACGGTTTACTACAATCTGATGTGTGTGTGTGCCGGGGGGGGGGGGGGGGGCTTTCTCAATGGAACCACTGTCCATCTCGATCTTTGACCTTGAATAATAAAGATGTCCAAAATTTTCGCAGCACTTCCGAAAAGTGATATCAGGAGAGACTGCATGAGCAGCAACAATTGTGACATTGAGTGGACACCGCATTCTTCAAACTTGAACCCCCTCAAACATTTGGTTAACTGAAGACCACGTTCATAGCAAAGATTAGGGAAATATCGAACGAGGTATGTGTTCGAGTAATTGACAATGTTTCGCAACGTATGCCTCCAATGTAGCGTCGAACCATCTGGAACATATTTTTGAAACCAACGTAACTTTTTAGCAAATCGACCAACCGACTGAAACTTTGGATTTAATAATTTTGTATGAATTTTGTGTATTTTTCTTTTTGGGTCACCCTGTTTTTATTGCTATATCCCCTGTTACTTAGTGGCATATATCGTAATCATATGTACGTATATTTCATATTACCGATGTTAACTGATTTTCCTAGCGATCTGAAAAGAGCCCTGCCTTGGAGTTAGTACGGTACACGAATATGACTTCCAAATACACATTGAATATACGTTTAAGGGAGTGTTCCTATAAGCTTTTCGTACTAGCTGGATCGATCTTACTCCCCGGGGATTCTCGCTAAATTGCATTCAGTTTAAGCGGCTGAAATATCTGGCACGCATCATCCTAATTAAAAGTACTTGGGTAAAGTCAGGAAAATTTTGTGGTCCATGATGTTGTTCATGTTGCTTTGGCATGCCAGACAATTAAGCTGATTATATTGACTGCACTTTAGGGAGAACCTCCGCTGAGTTAAATAGATCCTGCTAGTATGATAAGATTAAGGGTATGATGAGTCTAAGAAGACAAGAACCTCCCGCCGATTCCATTTAAATGTTTACTTTAAAATCCACTGGCGTGCCAATACTAGCCCACTTCATGTGATATGTTATAAGTGGGTCATACGAGGGTCCCGTTGGGTATTTTACCCGTGGGCGTCACTTTTTTATTTCCCGAGGCACGTGACACGTACGTTCATATTATTTTACCTGATGTGTGAAGCACCCCTTTCGAGTGTCTTTTTATCCTCTGCCTTGCGTTAATCGAAGTCATTGTACCGGTGACTAGTGATTTTCAGGATTTTCGATTCGCATTACCAGCAGCGAGATATGAATAAAGTTTTATTTACTATGATTTGTAAAATTGATGACTATAATTTTCCGTGAACTGTGAAAACGACCCCCCAGTAGGACCCTGTCATACGGAAAACTAATCACACCCCAGCATCTGTTTCACGATCCAAAACCTTGACCCTTGACCCCTAGACGGTAGATCATGTGACTTAACCTAGAGGCATTACATAAGAGGCACATAATTCGTTTCAACGCGTCACTTATAAAGATCGTCGGATCGCGCTGAAGCACCATGGATATGTTTGCAGAAAAACCCTGGGGTAAGCGCCCTTATTGGGGCATTGGGTTTAACTACGACCATCAATGGGTGCTGACAGATAAACAGAGGGAACTGCAGGCCAAGCTGATGGAGCTGTGCCGAACGACAATGCGACCAAATGGCGTAAGTGACTTTTACATTACAACGCGGTTTTAAATTATCTGTAACTTATTTGTTTAAATGGGTTTAATCTAAAACATAAGTGATGTAAAAGAATAAGATGATACTGTATTTTTTTAAAGTGCCCAGACTACATTAATTAGCGTGAGTGTTTTTAATACCGCACAAGTGAGTCGATCATACAAATGACGTTATGTCATGCTCCAATGTCAAAGGGGCAGACGAAGTTGTGTGCAATTTAAATTCCATGAAGTATTAATTTTCTTTTTTATTTTGATGACATATACCCATAGTTGCTTACTCCTAGATTTCCAAATCCAAGTCATGCTCCAATGTCAAAGGGGCAGACGAAGTTGTGTGCAATTTAAATTCCATGAAGTATTAATTTTCTTTTTTATTTTGATGACATATACCCATAGTTGCTTACTCCTAGATTTCCAAATCCAAGTCATGCTCCAATGTCAAAGGGGCAGACGAAGTTGTGTGCAATTTAAATTCCATGAAGTATTAATTTTCTTTTTTATTTTGATGACATATACCCATAGTTGCTTACTCCTAGATTTCCAAATCCAAGTCATGCTCCAATGTCAAAGGGGCAGACGAAGTTGTGTGCAATTTAAATTCCATGAAGTATTAATTTTCTTTTTTATTTTGATGACATATACCCATAGTTGCTTACTCCTAGATTTCCAAATCCAAGTCATGCTCCAATGTCAAAGGGGCAGACGAAGTTGTGTGCAATTTAAATTCCATGAAGTATTAATTTTCTTTTTTATTTTGATGACATATACCCATAGTTGCTTACTCCTAGATTTCCAAATCCAAGTCATGCTCCAATGTCAAAGGGGCAGACGAAGTTGTGTGCAATTTAAATTCCATGAAGTATTAATTTTCTTTTTTATTTTGATGACATATACCCATAGTTGCTTACTCCTAGATTTCCAAATCCAAGTCATGCTCCAATGTCAAAGGGGCAGACGAAGTTGTGTGCAATTTAAATTCCATGAAGTATTAATTTTCTTTTTTATTTTGATGACATATACCCATAGTTGCTTACTCCTAGATTTCCAAATCCAAGTCATGCTCCAATGTCAAAGGGACATACGAAGTTGTGTGCTATTTAAATTTCATCCATGCGCATTAATTTCCTTTTTTATTTTGATGACATATGCCCATAGTTGCTGACTCCTTAATTTCCCAAGTTCACATTAACAATGCGATATTCACGATGAATTGGTTATGTACTAATGCCTTTATTATTATTCCTCTTTTCTTTTATACTATTTATTCTGTCATGTTTTTCTTATGACTGAGTGCATTTTTACGCTTTCGCTGTCTCTGGTAGGGACCAAGCCGATGAGGCAGTCATCCTTTATCATATGAAATCTTGTTAACAGTACGATGGCTACATCACTTAGCCCCGGAGATACACTATTTGTACTTGCTTAGCGCTTCTGACACACATAACTGCACATAGTATGCTTACTTACTATCCTTTTCGAACCTTTGTCTCATTTTTACGAAGTGCATGTGTGAGTATTCAAAAATCTAGTAACGTTGTTAATTCATTTATTAATTGATATATTTTATTTATTTATTTTTATCTCTTATTATCCGTGTCATTAATTTACTTTATTGTCAGTATTGGCAGTGTTTTTAATAGTTTAGATATTTTATAATATAACGCGCATTGAGATATTGATGGAATGGGCCATGATTATAAGGAGTGTTTTTTTATATTTAAAATTACAACCTTAATGGTAACAGGAAGCTAATGTTTAAGTATGTTGGTGGGTGGATGGGGGGAGGGGGGGGAGAGGCAGAAATAAATTAGCCACAGATGAGGAAGGCCCTTCTTGGCCCTTAATTAGGTCCCTTAATTAACCCCCGGTTCCCACACCATTGAGTTAAGCATTGTGGCCCTTGTCTCAAATTTATACCACAATACCAATTCTCCATCCTGATCCCTGAATTTACACCTTATAATCAACAAGGTAAGATATGACGAGACATATGAATTCCCAAGAGAAAACATGGACGCCATGGCGGAGCTGGGGCTGCTGGGATTGATTGTACCGAAGGACCTCGGCGGGCTGGGCGAGAACCACGTGTGTGCCGCCATGGTGGTGGAGACTATTGCTCGTTATGGATGTCCCAGTACTGCTATGGTTTACTGTAAGTTACGCCAACTATAGGCCGGTGTGAACGGAATGCAGGTCCGCCTTAGGAATAGTAGTCCTAAATATATATAGGACTTCTATTCCTGGTGGACCTGCATTCCGTTTACATAAGTCGGCGAAATGGAGGTCCGCCCTATTTTTATGTCCGTCCCTTTATATCACAACTACTGTAGGTAAAGGCCAGTGACAGAATAGTATGCTGAAGTGAACATATATAACTAGAGGATCAGAGAGGCGATACCGCCTCCGAATATTGTACCACCAGCTGGAGCAAGCGCATTCGTATAGACTCCCACATATACAAAATAAGGAACACAGCCACCAGTCTTGTGCTTGACAAGCTGTAAAAATGCAATCAACAAGAATTTTCAAAATATGCAAAAAAATATATATATAACTAAAAATGGTACAATCAAAGTTAAGTTCATCGTAAGGTAGGTCAAAGGTCAATTCCAAGGTCACAGTAAATTGCCAGTATATGACTTCCTATTCAACTTCAATAGTAACTATGGGCCTATCTCTGCCAGGTTTGGAGTTAAAAGAGAAAGAAATTAGCAGAGTTCAGTTCATGATAATAAGTAGGTCAAAAGTCAATTTCAAGGTCACACTTAGATTGCCAGTATATGACTTCCTGTTCACGTTCAATAGTAACTATGGACCTATCTCTGCCAGTTTTGGAGATA